TTAACTCCAAATGTAATCGGTTGTAATTAGCAAATATAAAGTGCCACCTTAATGTTAAATTAGCCATACATGTAACAATTTGAAATGAACTAATAGTATGATAGTCACATTTAAAACATATATTAAAATAAATTTGGGGACTGGGGCTATACCTCAGTAAGAGAACTTTCCTAGCATTCAAGAGGACCTGAGTCCAATCCCAAGCACTGTAAAACATTTTTTAACTAATTCCAGAAGCAACAAATTAAAACAGTGATCTAAAATTTAATGTTAGGGGAAGTTCCAGCTGTTCTACACTATATAAATAATCCAAATTGCTTACCAAATATAAACTTCTTTCTGACCATCCCTTAGCTATTTTTGTAGTAGTCAGATTTCTACTTGAAAATGGAATTATAGGCAAATTGTAATTGATTTTTTGCCCCCTCTAAATGATATGCATAGAACATTAGAACTGGAAACTAAGGATTTTTAGGATTCTTAAAATTTTAGATTTTGAGCATAGGTCTACTTGGAGTAGACTTATGAACATGACTCCAAATCTCAGACATTAGAACAGTATAACCGTAGTTTTACTAAAGTAAACCAGGCAGTTGATGACTTTCGCTTTTCCCACTGGTTCTTTTCCCTTTAACATAGTCAGTGATCTTCCTTGCTACCTTCTCCAGCTCACTGCCCACATCTTCCCTTTTCTTGAGTTCCAGCCTTCTTTCTATTGATATGCTGGATTCCCTCCTCCTCATGGACTTTTGCTGAAAGATTCATCCTATCTGGAATACTCTCTGCTGTTTTACTGTCCCCCACACCACCCCCATCCCTCAGACACAGATAAATTTATCCCACACATCAACTTTGATTCCGTACTAAATGGGGTCTTGGTTTGATACTCAAGGCCACCTATACTTTTTTTTAAAATCACTTAACAGTTCAGTTGTTTAATGTGTTTTCCCCAACTACATTGCAAGCCCCAAGACACCAGGAAATGTTTTATCATTGTCTCCCAAGCACAAACTAGGCTAAAATATTTGAAAGCAAAAATTGTTTCATAATTATGGTGCAAGCTACATCATACAATATAGTCTATTCTTTGGAGCATTTATTTTCTGATTTCATAAGTATTTGATTTAAACTTCTTATTCCTAGGCTTTATTAAAAGACTAAAGTTAAGCAGTAAAGGAGTATTGACAGTCCACAGCTCATACTGAAATATTTTAATATAAACATTTCAATTAACAAACACTATAAAAAGTAGTACAATCAAAAATAGACTGGCAAATGCGAAGTTTTTGGAAAATAAGTTCTCACTGTCCAATCTTCCAAGCGTCAAAACTGTGAAGTTTCTTTAAAATACTGGCATTTAATAAATAAACTCTAACAAATCAGAAGTCTGTATTTCTTCCTCATTGGTGTTTTATGTAATTTTGAGATGCATTAATGAAGCAGCCAGGTGCAATGGTACATGCTTATAAACCCAGCTACTCAGGAGGCTGAGGCAGAAGGATCTCAAATTGGAGCCCAGCCTAAGCAACATAGAAACCCCATCTCTAAAAAGTACAAATAAAAAAAATATAAGCCAGGCATGGTGGCACATGCCTATGATCCCAACTTGGGAGGATGAAGCAGGAGGATCACAAGTTCAAGTTCAGCTTTAGCAACCTAGCAAGACCCCGTCTCAAAATTTTAAAAAGCACTAAGGATGTAGCTCGGTGGTAAAAATGTCCTGGGTTCAATCCCCAATACAAGAAAAAAAAAATACTTTCATAGAGGATTGGAATTCTTTATAACAAAGTATGATTAAGACTGGGTTGCTAACAGCAGATTTTCTCCACACTTATTCTTCCCTATTAAAATCATGTTGCTCAAATATCATCCTGTCACTACTGATTACCAAAATTTTATAGTTTTACCTTGCAAATTAAGTAAATATATAATTAAACAGTTAGTAAACATATAGAGTTTGAGTAAAAATAAGGCCCATGAGGTACTGCTGTGTAATGTATCTACTGTTAGGTTGATCAGACCAGTTGTTATATTTGACAGCAAGAAAAAAATCAGCTGGTTTCTGTTCAGAGCTGTGATTAAACAAAGACTGGATTCTTTTCTTTCAGCTTCTGGGACTAGAGAGTCTGAATGCTTTTTATTTGTAGAAGATGCTTGGGTAAGTTTCCAAGAACATGGTACTAGAGCCCCTTTAACTAGAAATTTGGCAAAACTCAAAATTATATCACTCAATACTAAAGAACTAAGAAGGATCAGGCTAGAAGCAACTATCCACACACAAAAGGCTAAATTGGCCATTCTTCGGGACACTGCTTCTACATTTACTTGAAGTATGTAGAGAGAGATGAAGAGGCTAATAGCTGCTAGTAGAAGACAACATGCTACTTTGAACCAGTCTTTGATATGTGTTCTATTCTTAAGAATATGTAACCCTGTTTGTACGCCAGCCATATATATCGCCACATACCCCAAATTAGAGATTATTCCTTCTCGGTTGGCATTTAAGAAACCAACCCTTGAGTCACTGCCATCAGTGCCATATAAAATTAACCTCCTCAGGGGGGTAAAGTCAAGGGCTAGCTGGTATAACATGGCAATGCTGACTGCCACCATCCAGGATTTACTTAGGGGAATAATCATTAAAAGCAATGATGTTATCAGTTTCACAACTATTATGGTAAAGAAAAAGTTCCAGTGAACTCCATACTCAGTTAAATGTTCCTGATAGCCTATGGATTTTATAACAATTAACCGTCCTAGTCCCAGGAAGAATAATGGCCAAGAAGAGTACAATGATTTTGTAAGATAATAAAATCTGGACCCTTTGGTATATTTTCTCCTGACCTCTGGACAAACCATTGCAGTCCCAAAAACAAAGCTGCCTACTCCCAAATCCATTGCCCCTGTTCCATAGAGCTCAGTTTTGGCAAATCTTCTGGGAAAAAGTGGGAAGTCCACAGCCAAAATGGCAATAGCTGTAAATATACTGTTAATTACACGGTAATAGGTAATGGCTGGATTGTATTCTGATTCTAGACTGATTTTCATGAATTTTTCAAGGATTTTCTGGGCAGGCATTCTGGCATAGCAAGTTCTCCTTTGGTAAATTTGATAGAGCAGCAGCCCTCCGCAACAGATCAATATAGTGATATGCTCAGGAAGGATAATTGAAGGCAAAATGGTCAAAGTGTACACCAGGGGAACTATTAAGACAACAAAGTCAATGAAGAATCGAGTTCTCCAGGTATGTGAAAAGGAACACAAGTGCTGTGAGAAAATGAGCAGGAGCCCTCTGCACAGGATACAGAATGCAGGAAAGCACAAGCCCTGGTTGATTTCCAACACGCTGGTTCCATTGAGGTTACTGACAAAAGCTTCTTTCATCTGTTTTTGAGACATTTTTCCCTTCCTGTGAAAACAAGAGCAAAGATATAGAATTGTGGAAAGCAACATTCTTCAGAAATCGGCATACATATGTACCCAATTTAATTTTACTCATTTCCAGATTTCAGAGCCAAACTTTAGGCCCTAGTGATTTCAAATCAGGTGCAGAACCTAAGACTTGTGATGATTCCCCTTCCAAGGACTGTGGTAAGTTGCCAACATGGATGCAGTAGGATAGGCATGTCATACAAGAGAGAAATTATTGGTGGAAAGCTCTTCTCAGTATACACTCACAAAGGTGAACTGGGGATCAAACTGTAAGACTGGCATCAAAGGCAGAAATTTCTAGGACAGCGCATAGTACTCTACACTGTTTAATGAACATTGTATACACATGACTAATCACTTTAAACCACAGGAAGAGGGAGAGAAGCTGTAAGTACACTTTGTAGTTGAGGTCACTAGTTTCTGTTGAGAACCTCTGTACCTACAGCCTCTGGAACAAAGGGCGAGACTTCCTGAGCCCCAGGTTGCTCCTTCCCTCATTTAACGGGCAGCCATATTTTCAGGTTAAGATGCATCACGCTGCATATACAAGGGCTAGCTGCTGCTTTAAAAAAATATATATTTTTTAGTTGCAGGTGGACACAATACCTTTATTTGATTTTTCTGTAGTGCTGAGGATCGAACCCAGGGCCCCACACATGCTAGGCGAGCGCTCTACCACTGAGCCACAACCCCAGCCCTAGCGGCTTCTTTTTAAAGGCATAAAGAACACCTCTCTGCCACTTATCAACGTCTCAAAGGTGGCACACTGGAAGAACACTTTTGTTCGCCAAACAAGAACCATATTAATTAAATGGGTATATGCGCGCATTAAGGCCTGTCGGGTCCTGCAACAGTATCACCTTAACCGGTCCGAATCGGTCAGCCTGCACAAGTCCTTTTCCTGAGAGACGCCCGCCACCGCCATGCCCTGCCCTTTTACCTCACCTGCTCCAGGTGCTGCAGGCGTCCCTGCAGGAGGGTCGTCCGCGCCGCCAGAGAAGCAGGCTCCCATGGAGCCCGCTGCTTCCGCCTTCCGAGCGGCGCTTCCGGCCGGGGCCTACTCTTCCGAGCGGCAAATTCCGCGCGGCCCAGCCGGATGTCGCATGTTTCCCCGCCCCGCCGGCTCCTTACGCCTGTCCTCTGTAGGGCTTCTGCAGCCCAGACACTCGAGTCGTGGCCATGGGCGGGTCAGTGAGAGGAGCGGGAAAGGCGCGTGATGCGCCTCATCCCGGCCCCTCAGACCCCACAGCGAAGCCCTGTCAGGGAAATCGGGTTCCAGGAAACCGCGTGACGCTTGGCTACGGCGACCTCCACCAAACGGGCCCAGGCACACGTGTTCCCCATGCCCAGACCCCCGGAACGGAGGCTGCCGTAACACCCGCTTCTACCCTAGGGTTTCGAGTAGTCCCTGGTGGAGCCCGCAGGCGGGACCCCCCAGGCCACGTGCGCCCCGCGTCGCGTGTGCGCGCCCCGCCCCAGGGGAGGAGCCGGCGGGCTCCCGGCCACTTAACCAGAAGAGCCGCGGGCCAGCTGCGATCCGGCGGTGCGGACTTTCTCTCCCGGGCTTTTGCTCCCGGCTTTCCTCCCTCCCCCTCCTTCCTTCCCTCCCTCCCCTCCCCTCCCCGGGATCTTCCCGCCAGCCCGCCCGTCCTTCCAGTCGGCCCGGGCGGGGTCTGCACGCTCGCCAGTCGGGCCGTGGGATCGGTGAGTGCCACCCCCAGCCCAGATCCGAAATCTCTAGCGGCCCTGAAAGGTCAGGGAGGCCAGTTTTTCCTACAGGGCCATGGTAGAGGGGGCATCTTCCCCTCTCTTCTCTAAATCGCCGTTTTCTTTCCATCTTCCCTTTTCTTTTTGACATTCTCGTGTCCCAGGAGGAGGCAGCCCAATTCTCCCGGTCCTTGCCCAAAACAAGGACCTTTCACGGTCACTTTCCACCTTGCCTGCGCGGGGCGGGGGAGGAGTCCCAGCACTGGGTCCCGGCGCCTGCTCCTCTCCCAGCCCTATCCAAGCACTGGGGAGGGGCGTTTGGTCCCGGGAGGGGTCAAGGGAGCCACGCCCTGGCCGAGGTTGCGTCCACCTTCGTGGGAAGGACACACTCTGCCGGTGCCAGGTGCTTTCGGCGCGGCATCTTAGCCGTGGCACCTTGGGCATATTGCCCAGTTCCCGCCAGGAACCTGGGGCGGAGCCAACTGGTCTCTCAAGACCCTTACTCAGCTGTTCTCCGCGGCTGCCCTCCCACTACTCTTGGAGCCAAGAAAGAAACTGAGGCTGGATAGGAGGAGGAGCTGGTGATCAAGTTGCCACTTGCCTTGACTTGGTGTTTCACCTATTCATTACTCCCTTCTGCCCACTGTGGTCACGCCCTTTTCAGAAATTCGTGGTAACCACGAACTGAGCAAGCAAGCTGAAGCAGCCCGCAGAACTGGAGAAAACCGCTCTAATCTGACGACTCCAGCTAAAAGCTGACGCTACATGGTAATAACCAACATTTGCTAAGTGCTCTCATAGGTAGTAGCTTATTTGAGCCTTAAGTTAGCACTGTGAGGTCTGGATATTATTATTATTTCATTTTGCAAATGAAAATAATAAGGTAGCTCTTGTGATCTGCAGTAGTGGGGTTGTGAGCTTTGGATTCCAACCCCACACCCTGGTATGCTCCCCCAATGGAGCTCTCTCAAGATGAGCTTTCAGTTTAGGGAGCTTTGTTCTCCTTGAGCCTCTAGAGACCTGTGCGTGGCTGTCTCTTGGAGGGGTACTGTCAGTGTTCAGAGTAAAGGTGTCCAACATAATCATGCTGCCCCTTTCTACCCCTTTTTCCAGTTTCCAAGGAAGTCTCTATCTCTAGGTTCTTTGAAATTTAGATGTATCCAGAGCCTTCAGAACTCTCTACCAGGATTAATCCTTTCCAGGTGCCCCTTATCCTCATCTATTCTTGTCCGAGGTATTGAGGCCTGGGAAATTCCAAATCTGAAGATAATTTACCTTTCTTCAGAGACTGACATAGGCCTAGCCTTATAACACTCCTCTCACCTTGAAGTTGACACTGATTCCACCTGAATTCTACCCAATTAACATTATCAACCCTCATTTGCAGTGCTAACAATATTTATCCTCTGTGTGTGTTCAGATTTGCACTTTGAATGGTGCTTTCAAACCATGATTTTATTGACCTTCACAACCACTTGTGATGTATCCCCATTTTCAAGTTGGGGGTTCCAGGTAGGTATTATAGTTTACCCAAGGTCACACACCCAATGAAAATGGCTGAACTGTGATTTCCCTTTCACATAGCAGCTTTTCTGGAGCTTCAGGTGTTGACTCCAGTCTCTCTCCTCCGTACCAGCTGAAATTGGATGTTTCCATGTAGAGTGAAGAAAATAGGGCATGAGGCTTTCTGACACCCACGTATCTTCATCCTCTGTGGCATACTTACCCAGAAGATTTACATCCCCACCACAACTCTAACCCTAAAGCTGTAATAAAACTGGCCCTGACATTTTACTAGAAAGGAAGCATCAGCAGTTAGCCTGGGGAATCTCTGGAGGCTCTCATCAAAGTTTCTCCTGTTCCCTAATTGGCAAAAGGAAAGGACAGACTCTCACTCTCTGCCCAGACCTGCCCTGGTTCTCATTTGATTCCTCCTCCTCAGAGGGAAGAGAAGGAATGAGTCACCCTGGAGAAGCTCTCATCTGTGCGTGGCCCTTGTCTTCTCTCTCATGCCACAGACTTTGGGATGACTTCTCTGAGATCCCTCCAGACCTGAGCCCTTTGCTAGAGCCATGCTGGTGGCCCAGTGACCAGGTGATTAGCACTCCGTGTGCCTGCGACCCAGGACCCTGGCTCACCACAGTGAAGCAGGATGCTCCAGCAGGTAAAACCTCAATCTTTTGTAACCCAGGCCTTTGCACACTTAAGACACCTTCCCATCTTTTGTTTGCCCAAATGAAGCTTCCACTGGCCTAACCTGGAAAAACAGGAAAGATCCCTTGAAGGCCTTTTTTCTTTTCTGTCTTCAGATAGTATTCTAATGCTTTTCCTGATAACTCATTTGAATCAGTTCTGTTATAGTTTTTAGTTCTTTTCTTTAGGGACTCCTTAGGCATTTTGGTGAACAGAGAGGGAATCCTGAGAGATGCCTCTACCAGCATGTATTGTTGAAGAACAGTGGAAGCCTTAGGCTTTCTGGGAGTGTTCTTTGAGACTGAGTCTTAATAAGAAGGAATTAGGTAAGTGGAAAAGGAAAAGAAGCAGTCCAGGCAAAGGGATTAGCATGTGTGAAAAATGTGGGCAATGACTGTGGATATACAGAAGGATTCTTTTTTTTTTTTTTTTTTTTGAGAGAGAGAGAGAGAATTTGAATACTTATTTTTTAGTTTTCGGTGGACACAACATCTTTGTTTGTATGTGGTGCTGAGGATCGAACCCGGGCCGCACGCATGCCAGGCGAGCGCGCTACCGCTTGAGCCACATCCCCAGCCCCAGAAGGATTCTGATTACTGGATCATGGGGTGCATGAAACCTCTTACTCCAGGCCTCTGCTTCTCTGAAAAAGCTACTGTCACCTCTGGCCTATAGGATTCCAAATCACCCTTCACTGTGAAGCGTCTTCTCATACTAGTATCATTCTTCATATATAGTTCCTGATCAGAGAGAATGACAGAATATATTTGCTGAAATTTTGTTTTATTAAGTGTTGCACAGCACTAGACTGAGGCAGATGTTTAAAATGGTACCTGTTCAGGAATTTATGGTCTAGTGGTGGTCTAGGTAGATAAATGCCTGAGACTCAGCAATATAACCAAGTGTGGGGCAGGCCAGCCAAAGAAGCTATAGTAGATACTGCCATTTGACCTTTCTGCTGTTTGGCTCATGAGACAGGCTTGAAGTTTGAAAGAAGCAGGCAGGACCGTTGTCTGCTCTGGGTTTTTAATTTTTTTTTTTCCATTATTAAAAAGTAGTAATGGGCCAGGCACAGTGCTGCATACCTATAATCCCAGCAGCTCAAGAGGCTGAGGCAGTTCAAAGCCACCCTGAGCAACTGCAAGGCACTAAGCAACTTAGGGAGACTCTGTCTCAAAATAAAAATGGCCAGGGATGTGGTTCAGTGGTTAAGTGCCTCTGGGTTCAATACCCAGTACCCCCCGCCAAAAAAAAAGGAGTAATGTTCACTGTAACCATTCTAGCATCTGCCCTGTGTTGAGCCGTTGTTGTGTGCTCAACACTTGTAGGCACTGTGCTACATGCAATTTTGTTTAATTCTTAATAACATCTCCATGAGAAAGATATAGTATTATATACTATACAATGGTATTATATCCCAATTCTGGTACTAAGACTCCAAGAAGTTAAATGTCTTTATCAGAAATTTGGAAAATAAAGATAAGGAAAAAGAACATTAAAATTGTCCATAAGCTTAGAGATAATTAACATTTAGAGACTGTTCTAGATTTCCCCCTCAAGTATATATATATTTTAAAACTTATAAGGTATTGTGTTTTCTTGTAACCTGCTTTATTTCATTGTATGGTGTTCCAAAATTTAAGCAGTCTACCCTCTTGATGTTGTGATTACTGTCCATTTTTTACAATCATAAATTCTAACTAGGAATGGTGGTACACGCCTATTAACTCAGCAAATCCCTTTCCTTCACTACGGCAAAAGAATTGCAAGTTTGAGGCTAACCTAACCTCAGCAACTCAGAAAGACCCTGTCTCAAAATTAAAGGACTGGAGATTCAGCTCAGTGGTAAAGTGCCCATGTATTCAATCCTCAGTACAAAAAAAAGAAAAAAAAAAAAAGACATGTATAGTTTTAGGGCCCTTGCTCTATTGCCTAATTAGAAGACCAACCTTTATAACAATAACAAATGTGTCATATTTCAGATGCCTTTCTAAACACTTTTCTATGTTTATCAGTATCTATGAGGTAGGTTCAGTCCCCATTCCATTTTACAGATAAGGAAAATCAAAATGGAAAAAGTTTAAGAAACATAAGATTGTATAACTACTAAGTAGAATCAGGATTCAGACCCAGGTGATCTAGCTTTCAAATGCAGGCTCTTGATCATTTTACTCCACTGCCTCTGGTTGGATCAGAGCTTCTCATAACTTATAGCTATGTTTGTGAGTGAGGTTTTTTGTTTTTCACTAGAGAGAGGGGTTTGCATAGATTCAGCTGTGCTGACTATGTTACCCTAGAGGGAATGAAACTGCCTTGCAGATTATGGTGGGCCCAAAGTTCAGAGAACTGGCAGCATCTTTGGAAGAAACTCATTGCTGGGCTTCTCAGATGAAACTTGCCACCATGGCTTGACTCCCTGAGGGATTTGAACTTCTGGGGTTCACCAGTCTCATTGGAAACCCACACGTGTCATGTCACAGACCTTGTCCTTCAGAAGCAGATTTCAGCCAAGGGTCTGTCTTCTCCTGCCACTCCATCCTTTCTATTCCATTCTTACCACCACCCTCCGCCAGGTGACAGACAGGAATGACAAGGGAGGAAAGTAGGGAGATGAAACATGTGGAAAGTGTTGGCATCAAAGATAGGCAAAGATAGAGCCTGTTCCCCTTGGTGTAGGTTCTTGACCTGTTGCAGCCTTCTGAGCCAGGCATCTGCTCAAGCAGACCCAGGTTGGAGGGAACCAATTCATTGACTAGGCCAGATTTAGTCTCAAGAGGCAGGTGACAAAGGCATGAGGCTACTTTTTTGAATGGTCTCTTTAAAACAAGGTCCATCCATGTTCATTTCTCTTTCCATACTCCTACAGCAGCCCCTCTCTGGCTTCTCCAAACAGACTCAGTAAGTCTGATACCATAGAAGCTGACTTGGCTAAAGCTTTTAGCAGGGGAGATAGCATAGTAGTTATTGAACATTTACTGTGTGCAAGGCCCTGACTAAATGTATGTCTCTTCTTCCCCAGAGCCCTGAGTTTGTTTTACATTATCTACAAATAAAGGTTTGGCAAGGTTAAGTAAATTACCTAGTTTCATAGGACCAGTAAGTGGCATAATTGAAATCTGAACCCTGCTAGACTCTGATTGTAGAGTCCTGTTATTTTTCTACTCCGGAAGCTCTCAACATATTAGCTGCTAGCTGGTCTGAGTCCCAGCTCTCATGGTCCTTACATTGTTCTTTTCCAGTTGAATGGCCACAGTTCCAGCTCTCATGACCAAAGCAGAGTGTCCCTCAGAGAAGACATACAGGAGTTCCTGAGTGGGGAGGCCCCACTGCACCAGTTAGATGACCTCACCAAGGTGAATCCTGTGACACTGGAGACAGGTATGGGCCTCCCTCTCCTGTAGAGTGCAGTCTCCAATGGGCAGAGGTGCAGTGAGAGTATCCAGCACAGCTTCCCCAGTTCAGACCAAAACAAGCAAGGCTTCTGACCTGGAGCCAGGCAGGCCACTCCAGACTTCTGCCCAGGGGAGCCTGGCAGCTACACCTGGGCTCCCCAGGGCAGGCTTGGTCCAGATTTGGGGCTCGTCTTAATTAGATCTTGTACCTATTCATCAGGGAGTTACTAGGATCTAATAGAACTTGATTAATCACAGAGGGAGGGCTGATAAGCAGATGTGGGTCTGTCTATGTGTGTGGAATTATCTGTATTTGAGGCAGACTTTGCTAAAAGTATCTCCACCTCAGTTCTAAGGTGCCTGCAGGCCCGGTACATGGTGGACACATTCTACACCAATGCTGGCTGCACCTTGGTAGCTTTGAATCCCTTCAAGCCTGTCCCTGGGCTCTACTCTCCAGAAATGATGAGAGAGTACCATGCTGCATCTCAACCCCAGGTAAGGCTCAGCTGTTTCCTATGGCCTCAGGGCTCCTATGAGCCTATCTGCAGATAGGCTCTTAGACCTATCTGCAGATTCCCCATCCTTATCTATCTATTTACCAGCCATATCGTCATTCAAAACTGGGTGCCATGGCTCTGCCCAACAGGCACTCTCAGAAATTTGGACACAAAAGAAATGACTATTGAAAGAAGGTATGAGTTGGGGAATAAATATTTAGCTAAATTTGGAACCTAAAATAGGCATATAGATTGAAGGATGTTTTTTCCCTTAATTTTGGGTTTATTCATAGGAAAGGATTTTCAAAGACATATATTTAACTAACCATCTTTTTAGAAAAGAATAAAATCATACACAAAAAGATTGCCCTAGAAAATTCAGCCCATGTTTATAATAATAAATTATTTGGGGAATGGGGGGGTGGGTGTGTAAACAGAGAATGGGCTCCTTGTTGTTGAAGTATTTAATATGTTCAGGGAGAGGCAAGAACAAACTTACTGGCAGGAGGGAGGCTGTGGGAGAGAGGCAGTAGATGAGAGTAGGACTAGGAGAAAGTGGGGACTGTTTGTGAAGAGTCTGAAGCCCACAGCAGGCAGAGTCCACATGGCTGCTTCATCTGGGTGGAGGTAAGACTGCAAACAGAGCCCACTGGGGAAGCAATTACTCTGGGAATTGAGTTCAGGAAGGTGACAGGAGGCAGAGAAAACAGTTGGAGGCTTTGTAATAGTCCAGATGAGAGGTGGCTGGGACAAAGACTGGTGGCTGATGATAATTCTGAAAGCATCCTCAGTGCTCCTTCAGGAGGCTGTAAGTGACCATTGCTGGCTGGACTGGCCAGGCATCATGTAGATGGCCAGGCTCTCCAGAAGTTCATGCATGGGGAGTCATCCAGGTAGAATCCAGGGAAGTCTGTCCTGATATTAAATACTGTCATCGTTGTCTCAAAGGGAAAAGTCAGGTCATGGTCTGTTCTGTTTCCCCAGTACCCAGCACACTGAGGAAAATTAATAGTTGTTGAAGGAAAGGAGAACAATGGTTTTGGAATTCAAATCACATGGAAATACTTACTTACTGAATGGCCTTGGAACGTTATTTAATTCCTCTGAACCTCAGATGCCACATCTATGAAATATTAGCTATTCAATCTTACTTATGTACAGATTTCTTAGTAACTTGTAAGAAAGTTTTTTTTTTTTTTATAGATTACAAAGTACAATAACATAATAAGCAACAGAATAAGACAATAAAACAACATAAGGGCCGGGTGAAGTGGTGCACACTTGTAATCTCAGCATCTTTGGGCGGCTGAGGCAGGAAGATCATAAGTTCAAAGCCAGCCTCAGCAACAGTGAGTTGCTAAACAACTTGGTGAGACCCTGTCTCTAAATAAAATACAAAATAGGACTGGGATGTGGCTCAGTGATCAAGTGTCCCTGAGTTCAATCTCTAGTACCCCCCCAAAAAAAAAAATAATAATAATAAGATGGGAACATAAAGTGTCAATGTCACTGACTGCTAACTGCTTGAGACCAGCACTGCTTCCAGGCAGAGAGAATGTGAATGAAGTCACTATAGAAGTTCCACAGTTGGACTTAACACTGTTAAATCCAGGAAGTTTTTCTGGAGAAAGTATCCTGGCATTTCTGTTGGCAGCCTCCCCATCTCAGCCATCATTGGCTCAACTACTTCTTGAAAACAGAAATTTTCTCACATGACCATTCCCTTTTTGATGTTTCAGAAACTGAAACCCCACATCTTCACTGTGGGTGAACAGACCTACAGGAATGTCAAGAGCCTGATTGAGCCAGTTAACCAGTCCATTGTGGTCAGTGGAGAGAGTGGTGCTGGAAAGGTAGGAGGACCACTTTTCTACCTTGTCAACTCATAACTGTAGAGAGGCAGTGGTCTTTCCTTGTGGAGTCATTTGCTGCCTTGTCATTCACAGATAGGCTGGCCAACACAGAGTCAGTATACCATAGTGGGTAAGCATTGGGCCAGAATTCCAGAGACAGGTTCCAATGCAGGCTCTCCTACTAGCTCTGCTGTCACCTGGGGTAAAATACTTTCCCCTTCTTCTTGAAGTTCTGTGCCAGCACTGAAAATAAAGTAAGCTGATGGGAATTCCAGTATAATGGTTATGGGCACATCAGAAAGGTTCTTAAGCCAAACTGGCATGCTGGCGCTTGCTTGTAATCCTAGCAATTTGGGAGGCTGAGGCAGGAGGATAGCAAGTTCAAAGCCAGTCTTCTCAGCAATTTAGCAAGGCCCTGAGCAACTTAGTGAGATCCTGCCTCAAAATATAAAAAGGGCAAGGGTGTAGCTTAGTGATAAAGTACCCTAGATTAAATCCCCAGTATCAAACAAAAAGGTAGGGGGGCTTTAAGCCAGGCATGGTGGTACATGCCTATAATTCTAGCTATTTGGGAGACTGAGGCAAGAGGATCACAAATTTGAGGCCAGCCTCAGCCATTTATCATGGCCCTAAGCAATTTAATGAGACCCTGTCTCACTAAAAAGGGCTGGGGATGTGACTCAGTGTCCCTGGGTTTAATCCCCAGTACCAAAAAGAAAGCTTCTCTGTCTTTCTGTCACTATAAATCCTAGATTGATAAGAGAAATTATGACTGGTTTTATGCCAATAAATTATGCAACTTAAGATAAAATGGAGAAATTTACTTGAAGACCCCCCACCTGACTACTAAAGCTCACATAAGAAGAAATAATGTAACCTGAATAGCACATATCTATGAAAGAAATTTAAGTCACAGTTTTTTTTTAAAGAGAGGGAGAGAGAGAGAGAGAGAGAAAGAGAGAGAGAGAATTTTAGTATTTATTTTTTAGTTTTCGGCGGACACAACATCTTTGTTTGTATGTGGTGCTGAGGATCAAACCCTGGCCGCACGCATGCCAGACGAGCGCGCTACCGCTTGAGCCACATCCCCAGCCCCTTAAGTCACAGTTTAAAAAAAAAAAAACTTTCTACAAAGAAAGCTTCAGGCCCAGGCAGCTTTACTTGTATTCACCAAACATCTAAGGAAGAAATGTTACTAAATCTACCCAAAGTCTTTCAGAAAATAGAAAAGAGGGAACATCTCCAGCCTCATAGAAAGATCTAAAGAATTTGCAAAAAACAAAAATCACTACTACAGCTAAAAAATTATAGAGAGTTTAGTGAAATGATAGGACATGAGGTCAATATATAAAAATCAATTATATTTCTATGTCCTAGCAACAAATAATTGGAAATTTAAAGTGAAAATTTACCTCATTCAACTGATTGAAACTAAAGAATTTTTATACTTGGGCTGCCTGCATTTAATCAGAGCTCTGTCATTTACTGATCTTTAATAAATTAAATTTTTTTTAATTCTGCAGTTTTATCATTTTAAAAACATGTGCATAATTATATCTGCCTCTTTAGGGTTTGTAAGAAAACACAGAAAACCGCTGTAGTTCAGGGCCTCCATGGAGTATTCAATATTAGCTGTGACACTGCCCAGGTCCCCTCATTCTTAGTGCATTCTCTGGAACTGAGATGCACCCTCCCATTTCACAATTATAATAATGCATTGCCAAGGCCAGAGCTGAATTCAGTAGTCATTCATTTGGTCAGCAACACACATAGTGGTTCTTAGAAGAGCATTCTGGTGGACACCACTTCCTCAGGCAGGCTTGGTAATAGGAAAGAACATGGACACAGCTCCCATGAGGCTGTTTTTTCCTGCAGACATGGACGTCCCGCTGCCTGATGAAATTCTATGCTGTCGTAGCTACCTCACCCACTTCCTGGGAGAACCACAAGATTGCCGAGAGGATCGAACAGCGGATCCTGAATTCCAACCCTGTCATGGAAGCTTTTGGTGAGTTCAGCAACCTCTGTACTATACTTCAGTCCCATTTCCTCTCTAGGGTTTGCCACCTGGCATGAAGAGGAACACTGCTCTAAGACCCTCTCTGGGGGTTGGAGGATGAGTGTATTCTTCACTGCCTTGGACCCCCAGCCTTCTCCCAGTTCCCCCCAACCTCCTTCCAATAAAGGGGATGTCATTTGGTCATCTTGCCTTCATCCTAGACACATGTAACAGTGTTGAAGAAGACCTGGTGACTCATCTAGTCCAAATCCTATCTTTCCATTCAGTCTCCAGATGGTTTAAAGGAGATTTGTCTAAGGAAGCATAGCTATTGGTGTCCTTGATGAGACTGAAGCCCAGATGATATATCTTGCTGTCTGAAGCCAATAATGACAGTGTGTTGTTTTTGACCTCCCTTCAAACAAAAAAAGTTCCTGATGCGTAGGCTTGCTCATTCCACCTCCTTGCCAGGAAGTTCTAACTCTTCTGCATTTTGCTTGCCAAGGCCTGAGTGCCCTTTCCCTAGTCCTGTCCCCCATGATGTAGAAACCAACAAAAGGGCTTTTAGGTGACTTGAGGATGGGCAGCCATGCCCATCCTTTTGTCCCTTTGGGAACTCTAAAACCTAGGGGAGTTATGCAAACATAGGTGTTATTTGTAGGGAATGCATGTACACTGAGGAATGACAACAGCAGTCGCTTTGGGAAGTTCATCCAGCTCCAGCTGAACAGGTAATTACTGTTGCCTCCTTGGCCCTGGTGGGGGGGGGGGGGTTGAGGGGACTGGCCAGGGTTTGGAAACTGCTGGGGCTATCACCAGCCTTGGCCACCTCTCTGGGCAGAATTTGTCATGTATGTGTATGAGAATATTTAGGATCAATAAACTCTATAGTGATCTTTGAACCTTGAGAATCATAATTGCTCTCACCTTAGGAACTGGAGTGGTGTTCTTGACATGGCCTTTGTATTCCTCAGCTTATACCCTTGCTCAGGGACTTCTAAATAAATTGCTACCTCTTTGGGCCATAACCCTGAGCTTTAAGCTACAGCTTCTGCTCATGCCTTGGGATGGGACAAAAGCCATATACAAAAGCCATGGCCCTGCCCACCTAAGCTAGATGCAGGGGAAGTTCCCAGAATACCTAAGGACATTCTAAGTGGTTCTCAGCCTACTAAGAAGAATAGGTTGGCAGGGAGTTGCTAGGTGGCAGTCTGGTACACATTAAGTGCTGAATAGATGGCTATTGAATAAATAGACAACTAATGGGCTCCTACCTTTTTGTGCCAGGGCCCAGCAGATGACAGGAGCTGCAGTCCAGACCTACCTCCTAGAGAAAACTCGTGTGGCCTGCCAGGCTTCCAGTGAGAGGAACTTCCACATCTTCTATCAGGTCTGTGCCAAGAGGGACCTATAGTGCCCACCTGCAGGGCAGGGCTGGGTCTGTCTCCAGGTCTCCATAATGTTCCATGCCTGGCTCCTTCATCTGATTTTTAGTAGTGCTGCTTATTCCTCAACTTTTTCTTTTTCTTTTTTTTTTTTTTTTTTTTTTTTTTTTTTTTTTTTTTAATGTACTAGGGATTAAACTCAGGGGTACCCTAATACTGAACTACATGCCCACCCCTTTTGTTTTTTTGTTTGTTTGTTTTTTGTGTTTTGTTGTTTTGTTTTGTTTTGTTTTGTTTTTTGAGACAGTCTTGCTTAGTTGCTGAAGCTGGCCTCAAATTTACAATCCTCCTGAGTAGCTGAGATTATAAGCAAGTGCTACTGTGCCCAGCTTATTCCCATAAACTAATATGGAACACTTCTGCTTCATATGAGACCTGGGCTTCCAGCACAGTTTTGGCTGAAGAGTATGTTCTGCCTCTTTGTCAGACTAGAAGATTTCAAGGTAGTCTGTTTTTAGGGAACTGTGTCCTTTACTAGAATGAGGCTTCCCTAGACTTGTGCCCCTTTACTAGACCCCAAGGTATGGATTGGAAGTCTCCTTGTTTTAAGAAAGGGAGCATCCTTAGGTAGAGAAGTACCACTCCAGTCAAGATAGGGGTTCACCAGGCAGGAGCTGTAGTTCTTCACTGAACTAAAGGCTTTCCCAGAGCAGGATTTTTTGTGTGTGTGCATCAGATGGGAGATATCCAGGATGACATTTGCTTCTTCTTTTGTTCTCATTCCTACCCTGGGCTCTCTCAGTTTTGTGACATTATATCCATTTCTCCTATTATCCCAACCCCAGGCCTGTGGAGCCTGGGCTACCCTTGCACTCCCAGTTCACCTACCCACCCTTCCACAGATATGCAAAGGAGCCAGTGAGGAGGAGAGGGTCCAGTGGCACCTCCCCAAGGGATCCACCTTCTCCTGGCTGCCCAACCCAGAGAGGACTTTGGAAGGTAAGTGGAGCTTCACTCCACACCCTGGATTAGCCCAACAGCACATGCCCACTCTGCACAGGGTCTGCTTCCCTTGCCCTCCTGCTGCTCCTGCTCATCACTGGGTTTCTTTTTCAGAGGATTGTTTTGAGGTGACCAGAGAGGCCATGCTCCATTTGGGCATCGATACCTGCACCCAGAACAACATCTTTAAGGTCAGAAGAGAGCCATGCTGCTCATATTGGCAGAGGTGCCAAGCAGCCCCTTCCATAGCATCCTTCCCTGGACTTGAAACTCTTGCCTTTCCCTGAACATCTAGGGCTTTGGGCCCTACCACACAGTCTGCAAGGAGCCAGTCGGTCACCTCTCCAGGGAGATGAGTAGTGGGGCTAGATGGCCATAGAGGACAGGATAGTACATAGTGCTTGAGTACAGAACATAGTACAGTGACCTATGTGACCTAAGATGGCTTGGGTCAGTTATTACTGCAGTTATGAGAATAGAGAAATAATCCTACCACATGTTTGTCTTAACAATTTAAAATTTAAAAATCATAATCATACTTCTTAGCTCACTTGTTTTTTTTCAACAGTGCCTTGTGTGTGGAGATTATTTTCATTTTACTCTTAAGAAAACCAGAGAGGTAAAATGACCTACCTAAAGTCAATATCACTCTGTAATAGAGTAAATTTGTTTTTTTGTTGTTTTTTGTACTGGGGATTGAACTCGGGGGGCACTCGACCACCGAGCCACATCCCCAGTCCTATTTTGTATTTTATTTAGAGACAGGGTCTCACTGAGTTGCTTAGCACTGCGCTTTTGCTGAGGCTGGTTATGAACTTGCGATCCTCCTGCCTCAGCCTTCTGAGCTACTGGGATTATAGGCGTGCCCTACCTGTCATAAATTTATTCAGACATAGTAATTCCAAAGTCCAGCCTTTGTTTTCCTCTCCTCTCTCCACTCCCATCTCTGCTCCTCCCTCTTGGTCATGTGCTAACCCCATGCGTATCCCCACAGTGGCTTCCTCCTACGTTCACCTTTGCTGACAAGACTGACTGCCTCCCTCCCCCTCACATCCTCAGCCCCCAAAGCAAGAGGACAGGCTAAATAGGATAGGGGGACAGCAGGGACAGAAAAGCTACTTCAGGGAGATGACAGTGCAATGGAAATTGACTACCTCCAGATGGGGGCTGCTCAGACAGGGAAGGTATTATACCCAGTATGGACACTGCCAGGTAAGAGGCTGGAGAGAAAGACATCATATGGGAACAAGACCAGGAGTGGACAACACTAGGAGTCCAGGCAGGAGTGCTGCTGGTTTGGGGGTGTATCATATCACCCTCTACCACAGCCATACTGCCCACTGGGCATAACAGTTCTCACCTGGATAGGTTGTGGCCAGTAGTAAAAGGAGGTGACTTGCCTAGGAACGGCAGAAAGGGCCCTTTTCTTCTAGTCCGAGGGTTTTAAAGTTGCTGGGCCTGGAGGGGTTTTCTTTCCATAGCTCCTGTGGGTTTGTCCATGTATTTGTGTTCAAAGGCAGAAGGGTGGCACACGCTATGGAGACCAAGATCTCAGCTGCTCTCCAGCATGGGAATCCTAAACCCAACAGGGCTGAGAAAGAGCCCCAGGAAGCCAGAGCCAAGCCCCCAGCAGACACAGAAGTAATCCTGGCCTATAACTGACAATCAGTTTTCCCACACAGTCTGGTTTAGAGAGTGGAGGACAGAGGGACAGGTGGTTGGTACACATGGGGGCCCACTGGCTGCTCTGTGAAGCATCTGAAGACAGACGCCCCCCTGGGTTCTAATCTTGCCTTTCCCCCTCAGAGTATCCTTGGGCTTAGGAGTCAGCCTCTCCCAGTCCATCTCTCCCATCTCCAGCACATGCATCATCATAGCACATGCCTTCTAGGGCACTGGAAAAATGGAGGTGATGCATATACCTTGTACAGATCATGGTTGGGTGTAGTCGAGAGCTATTCTTCAGTCTTGTCCTGATTATATTCAGAAGGAGGGCTCACTTCAGTCCTCTCCTGTTTCTGACCAACCCTTTTTGCCCCCTCAGGTCCTAGCTGGACTGCTGCACCTTGGCAATGTCCAATTTGCAGACTCAGAGGATGAAGCCCAGCCCTGCCAACTGACGGAAGAGGCCAAGTGTGAGGGGCGAGGGAACAGGAGAGTAGGGTGGGCCCTGGCTAGAAACTACAACATTGGGGGTTAGGAGGGAAACTAGAGGATGGAAACTGTCTGCTGTAATCTACTCCTCACCCTGTCTCTGGGGAGGTGGACATGATCATATCCATCTTACGGATGAGAAAACGAGAGTAAAAGGGTCTAATAAAGTCATTGTTCCACAGATGGCAGTGTGGGTGGGGATATAGAAGTCCTGGGTTCATGTCCTGTCTCTGCCACTTATGGAGGCCTTTGGCAAGTCTCTTTGCCTGTCAAAGCCTAGGTCTCCTCTGTCCAGTTGGGTGAGTCATGGTTCCACTGCGAGGACTTCACAGTGCTTCGTAGTTTGAAGAGTGGTTTGCCTAAGGAGGATTTGCCTCTCCCAGGCTCTGTCAGGACATCAGCCTCGTTACTGCAGCTCCCAGAGGACATGCTGCTGGAGACATTGCGGATTAGAACCATCAGGGCGGGCAGGCAGCAGCAGGTGTTCCGGAAGGCCTGCTCCCGAGCTGAGTGTGACACCCGCAGAGACTGTCTGGCCAAACTGGTCTATGCACGGTGAGCAGTTACAAATGTTGGACCAGACACTGGTGATAGGCAGTAGATGCAGGCACAAGGTTGGGGGGTGTCAGATAAAGCAGACTGGTTTCTCAGCAGGGAATGCCTCCCATGTTTTTTCACTTCTGTTTCTGAGGGTTGAAGGAGAGTTTGCCATATTCCTGACCTCAATTCAGCTACAGGAGCTTGCTTTGTCATGGGCAACAGGCAAGGAAAGCCTGCTTAGCTGTCTGCTGGCAAAGCGGGCCTCAGAGGTGAACTGGCATCTTCACAGTTCTAGGTTTAGAACGTTGGGTGGATAGGTTCCACTCTCTTCTTGGACCCTGACACTTAAGACCTTGTGTTACTTATCTGGGGAGCTTGATAGATGGTGGTAGAGCCAGAGGCTCAGCCCACAGGTGTGGGCAGCACAATGGGGAAGGTGGGCTCCTGGCCTTTCCCAGTGTGTTACATGAGCATCCCCAGTCCTGGGCCATGTGGTCAAGAACGGTCTCACCTTAGGCTCTGAGAAGCTTCAGGGTGCCTTGTAAGTTCTTCCAGGGACCCAGAATCCTCTGAGATTATGGAATGAATATATATATATGTGTATATATATATATATATATATATATGCACACACATGCATTTGGGACCTCAGGCTGTCTTCTGGAGAGAGGGTCCCTGTGCTTTCCATGAACTTCTCAAAGAGCCAAGAGCCTGAGAAGCACTATTGAGGGAAAAGATCCTCTGAATTGAAAATGGTCCCCAGTAGCTGGGCCTAGACTAAAACCATTTCAACAAGAGACTCAGATACCACTGCCTCTAAGAGAATTTCAGGTCAGTGATTTTGAAAACCTTTGCTTTACTGCAAAATGAGCAGTTAAAATATGAAGGTCACAAAGTGAGCTCCTAACCATAGAACATTTTACACATAGAAACCATCAGTCATTGCAACACTAGGTTATTCATTTCTAGCAGTTCAAATGGGTGTTTAAAGCCCTGTTGTAAAAGAGGATCTGTTTACTGAATTGGGGGGAAAAGTTGCAGAGCAACTTTTAAGAAAAACTGTAAAGAAGAAACCCTGAACAGTGTTGTACATGCCACCATCTTCTACAGTAACCTCACCTTCTCTGGGTTGGTGATGGTTCCAGAAGGAAGATGCCATTGTTGGCCTTAAGTCGCTCGGGGTCTGCTTGTGCAGGACTGAGCTGAAGGATGTGGCGGGGTGTTGAGCTCTTGGCTCTGCAGGTAGACTTGGAATTCTATGAACTCAGTTCTTAAGGAAGCCCACCTTGGCCTGCCCAATGGCCCCTTCTAGTCATGACACCAACTGGTGTCAAGACATGTGACTGATGCAGACTTGTGCCCTCTCTGTCCTGGAACCTAGCTTGTCCTGTGCTCTGTCTACTGGGAAGACAGGCCAGGTCTGTGTGTACCTGGGAACATGCATGTCCAGAGTCTCTATCTATAGTAGGTCAAGACAGGATATGCAGGAAGATGATTTTTAGCCTTTGGTCTATTGGGCTCAGAATACAAGGCCCCCTGAGGGTTGGCTCCCTGGCTGGAAGAGCAATTTTGTCATCCCCAGGCTCAGCCTCAGCCCCTCATCACAGTCCAACTCTTCTCCCCTACAGGCTGTTTGACTGGCTGGTGTTGGTGATCAACAGTAGCATCTATGCAGACCCCGACTCATGGACCACTTTCATAGGTAGCAGCAGCTTACCCTGTCAGGAACCCTCCAGAAAAAAGCAGTAGAGCCATGAACAGAGAGGCTTGGGTCCCCTGTGAGGCTCTGAGCAGCCCATCCCTTCTCCATACTCCCATCTCTTCTTTCATTCATCCAGCGTTTGGGTGAGATCTGTACTTTCTGATGCTCACATCTAACCATTCATGTCTTTCCAAACAGACTTGGTTGGTGTCTTGGCTGTAAGGGCCCCTTTTCTTCCAGACACCCAGCTCTAATCCCAGAAGAGAAGTGGGGGATGGGTGAAAGCTAGACCAGGGGACCTGACAGGTCAACATCATTCTAACCCTGGGTGGATAGTCAGGGAATGGAGGAAGTAAAGCCTAGAGGTGCCAGTGCACTTTGCTTGTGGAATAGTGGTGTTCTAGGCACCAACTAGGTTGGTGAGACTGAGGCCTTCTGAATTAAATTTGACACTGAAAATGTTCCCTGGTACCTGGTTTCCTCACAGAAGGTGCCTTTCAGAACCAGAGGATTCAGACTCAAAAATGGGCCTGATGCCCTCTACTGCTCCTCATATTTCACTTGGCTCTTTGCCTGCTCTGAGAGCACATGGAGTAGAGCTGGGACCACCCTGGGTGGGGTGCAGAGAGTAAAAGTGGTGTTCTTAGCTCACCAAGAAGGTGTCAGGCTCACTTACCTCATCCCCAGGCTACCAAGTAAGAGGCCTTATCAAGGACCCAATCACCTTGGGGTCTTGGAATCCCACTACTCCTGCAGTGACCGCATGAGTTCCCTCCTCCCAGGTCTGCTGGATGTGTATGGATTTGAGTCATTTCCTGACAACAGTCTGGAGCAGTTGTGCATCAACTATGCCAATGAGAAGCTTCAGCAACACTTTGTGGCTCACTACCTCAGGGCTCAGCAGGTGCGGCAGGGCAAGGTGGGCGGTACTTCTTCTGGGTCCTTCACTTCACCTGGTCCTTCAGCCCAGCTCTGACTGGGAGCCTTTTATTCCTCATTTTGTTTTTGACAAGTAAAAGTTATATATATGAAGTAGGATGTGGTGGGTTTTGTTTTTGGAACTCAGGAGCTCATGCGTGTTAGGCAAGTGCTATAGCACTAAACTACACTCCCAGGCCAATGTAATGTTTTGATAGACTCATGTTCCTTCTTTGGTGCTGTTTTGGAACATGCTGAGGTACCAAGGCCAACTGTGGGAGGCCGCCTTCTATCCTACTCCCTGTCTGTCCCCTAGGAGGAATACGCAGTGGAAGGCCTGGAGTGGTCATTTGTCAATTACCAGGACAACCAGACCTGCTTGGATCTCATCGAGGGAAGCCCTATCAGCATCTGCTCCCTCATAAACGAGGTGGAGAGGGTCCACTAGAACTGAGCACCAGAATTGGTCTTTGGGCTTTTCTGTGGTTTTAACTATTCTGTGTTCTCTTTCTGCCTCTATCTCTCCATCTGCCAAATGGGTTTGCTGATTCTTCTATTCTCCCTCTTGGGGTCACTATAATTCCTGTGTGACAACCCTGCTGTCATGGAAGCCAGACAGTAGGGACTATGAGGGTTATGAAATCCTCTTGTTTTTGTGACTGACTGCCCACTCCCAACCCCACAGGAGTGCCGCCTAAATCGGCCAAGCAGTGCAGCCCAGCTCCAGACACGCATTGAGAGTGCCCTGGCAGGCAGCCCCTGCTTGGGCCACAATAAGCTCAGCCGGGAGCCCAGTTTTGTGGTGGTGCATTTTGCAGGGCCTGTGCGGTACCACACAGCAGGCCTGGTGGAGAAGAACAAGGTGAGCTCAGCCTGGACCAGAGTCTGGAAGAGATGGTGCATGAAGCAGGACACTGTGCTTCATGCATGTGGTTTCCCATTAGGCATCCTTTTTCTCTCAAATGTCCACCCAGAATCCAGGATCACTATCTGGGTCTCTGCAAATCCAGCCTGACCTGCCTGGAAATGACCTGTTGCCCTGGGTCTGGGTCTTTGGTTGGCCTGGACTCAGGCCCTGCCCTCCCGGAAGCCCTGCCTTGTCTTGGGCATCCAGGGGGGCATATGGACAGCTCTACGAAGCCGTCCACCTGTTCTCACCTGCAACCCTTGCCCTTTCTCTACAGGACCCCGTCCCCCCTGAACTGACTGGGCTCTTGCAGCAATCCCAGCACTCCTTACTCACTGTGCTGTTTCCTACTGACCCCAAAGAGAAGACCCAGGAAAAACCCTCTGGCCAGAACAGGACCCCTGCATTGACTGTGGTGTCCAAGTTCAAGGTGGGTCTGGTGGTTCTGACATGATAATCTCAAATGTTTATTGAGCCCCTCCCAAGACTGGAGCTATCTGCTTGGAGCAGTGGTGCAGTGATTTGCTATATGTCAAACAGATGTGGTCTCTGTTCCCATGGGCTTTATACTTCAGGGTAGAAACAAAGACGGGACACACAGGCCATCAGATGTAATGATATGACATCTTGGGGGAGTGGAAGGACTCTTGCTCACTGATGATAGGATGCTAATAGGAGAACAGTAGTTACGTGAACCTCTCTGAGTGGGTCCTGCTCAAACCTGTCCTCAGCAGGCACAGGCTTGTCATTTTTCTCAGTATTGTCAGTTTTCTGCTATTGCCCTTGCATGTACCTTCCTGGGATTTTTTTTTTTTTTTTTGTATCAGGGATTGAACCCAAAGGTGCTTAACCACTGACCCACATCCCAGCCTTTTTACTTTCTGTTTTGAGATAGGGTCTTGCTAAGTTGTTTAGGGCCTCATTAAATTGCTGAGACTGGCTTTGAGCTTGCAATCCGCCTGCCTCAACTTCCCAAATTGCTGGGATTATAGGCATACACCACCACACCTGACACCTGGGATCTCTTGACCACTGCCCTTCAGCTCCCACACCAATTTTCTTAGTTTGTTTCTACTCATCCATCAAACCTCTGCTCTGTCATTGAGGAGAGAGCTCCTCCTTGAGGAGGCACCCTGTAGTACCCAGTTTGATTAGCATTTTTCTACCCCAGCTTCAGACACCACAGAGGGTGTCCTATATGTGTGTGGCCCCTGAGACTAAGCTCTGAGACAGCAGCAGACTGCCTAGGTCCTGGTCCCTGCAAGCCTCCATCACACAGGGCAAGCTTAATAATGGCAACTATTGCCTGAAAGAATGGCAGCGGGGGTTGGGGGGGGGGGGGTTGAAACTGTTCTCTTCCAGAAGATTGCTCTGGGGAGATGGGGCAAGAGAGGAAGCTGAGATCAGATGTAGGCAAACTGATCAGATGAAGGTCATAGTTCCAAAAGTTCCTTGGAGACGAGGGTGAGGAGCAATAGTAGGTACGAAGGGGGTGTGCTTTGAGAATGGCCTTGTAGAGACCATTCATATCAGTGCTGCTGTCTTCCCCATTCAGTAAGATCCTCCGGTAGTTGTCACCAGGGCACATGAGGATCTTGGTCTCAAGGCTGAGAAGGCTGCTGGAGGCATTGGCTACAGTTATTAACCAGGGCTTGGCTTATGGCCCTGAGCAGCCCCAGTCCCTGTCTAACCCTACATCTCTCCCATCTTCAGGCTTCTCTGGAGCAGCTCCTGCAGATCCTGCAGAACACCACACCCCACTACATTCGATGTATTAAGCCCAACAGCCAGGGCCAGCCGCAGAGCTTCCTCCAAGAGGAGGTAAAAACACTGGACCAAAGCTGCTTTGCACTGATCCCCATCTGGCAAGCCCTGGGAGGATGCAGGGCAAGACATCTCCAAACAGAGTGTCTGGGAGTCTCAGGCTGGGCCTAACATTAGGGAGGGCTGCTCTTCTCTGCTGGGGCAGGGCAGTCATGTGCAATTTTGTGGCTGTGTGGCATGTACTGTGCAGTGGCTTAGGCGAGGAGGCAAGTAGGGACTCCAGTGTCTCTTGCTCTCTGCTCATCAAGTTAGGTGCCTTGAGGAGGGATTGAAGGATTGGTAGGTATCTTTTGTGACTAGTTGAAACTCTGTGTCATTTTAGTCCATGTACAATGTAGCCATTTCTGACTGGAGTATCTTTTTTTTTTTGTCTAATCTACGCAAAAGCACTTTGGCCAGCAGGTGCCCTTTTTGCTCAGGGTACCAGGCTCTGAGGGCTATGGATGAGGTGTGAGTGCTGGACAGACCTAAAAAGGAACACAGGGTCATCTGATAGATGTGGCCTTGGAGTTGGTAGCCAGGACTACTTGGCTGTGTGGTAAAGACTGGAATTCAGACTGTGGGAGAATCTTTACAGTATGACCTCCAGCCCCTCAGCTGTGAACCACTCTGCTACCTGCAAAAACAATTAGAACTAGAAATCTGGTTGGGCTGCATTCTGAGATAGTGAGTCTTCCCCAAAGGAAGGGATGAGACAGCCAGGACCATCAAAGCCCTAAACTGTATCAAAACTCAGGCATCTGGGGAGACTTGGAACTACCAGGGCCCTCTTTCTACAGAGGAAATTTTTTCAGGGTTCCTTGATTTGCCACCCCAAGGAGATACCCTCATCAGCCAAGGCTCAGGAGAGCCTCCAGCACCACACAGGCTAGGGCCCAAGAAAAAGCCAGAAGGAATGGCATTTCTGGTCCCACAAGTACCTACCCTATCTTCCCACCCTGTAGGTCCTGAGCCAACTGGAGGCCTGTGGCCTTGTAGAGACCATTCATATCAGTGCTGCTGGCTTCCCCATTCGGTGAGTGAGTCACACCACCACAGGGAACAGGGCATTGCTGGGGTGAATTACAGGACTTGGCCCAGACAGGAGCCTGCCCAAGACAGAGCTGGAGGTAGAGATGAAGAAAAAGAGGCAGGTCTATAGAAGTCCACCTGGAACTCAAGGAGCAGCACTTAATTAATTTATCCATTCATTTACTGTACACTGTTTTGAACAATAAAAATTACCAGCATTGTTTCTGGTAATGTATCAGTGAATAAGGAAGGTGAGTCTCTCCCTCTTGGGGTATACATTCCTATGGAGTCAGGAAAAATAAGTGCCACTGATGCTAGGAAAGAAACAGAAAAATGCTAATTAGATAACCCAACGGGGAAGGGCCCTTCTAAGCAGCTCAGGCCTATGAGAAGTGAAGGGTCAGGAATTGAGAGATGCTGAAGGGAACTGAGCCCTGAGTGATGTACCTGGCTCACGGATGAACTCATTCTCTTTCACCTGCTTTGGCTTGCAGGGTCTCTCACCAGAACTTTATGGAACGATATGAGTTACTGAGAAGGCTCTGTCCTCGCGCATCCTCAAGCTTCCATAACCCATATTCTGCCAAAGAGCACTCTGGTGAGTGAGGGCCCTTTGTTCAAACACAGGTCACTGAATACAACATAGCCCTGCCCTTATGGCTCCTCGTTCAATACAGGGAACAAATTCAAAGACAGCTGTGGAATGCAGGAAGGCAGAGCTGTGAGCAGGATGCTGTGGGAAGTGCTGGGCAGGTGTGAACTGGGGAAAGCTTCCTAAAGCAGGTGGTAGGTGAGGGTAAGTTGGGTAGCCAGGTGAATAGGCTAATCTGAACAGAGGCGTGAGACAGCAGTGTGGGTGTGAGGAACTTCAGGCCATTGCAGTTTTGCTGGCTCATCAGGACAGTGGTGACAGGTGATCTACTCAGGGAACCTAGACTTTTATTCTCTGGACAGAAGAGGTGGCACTGCAGGGAAGAAAGCCAGCAGCTCCATCAGCCGGGGGGCCTTGTGGAGGTCTCGGGAGTGAGGCTGCAAAGCTGCCAAGGGGAGAGAAGCCAGAGAGGTGAGAGATGTGTGGAAGAAACTGGTCAGCCTTGGTAGGCGTTGACCGGTATACAGACAGGAAGAGCCAGAGAGGTCTGGGGAAGCTCAAAAGCCCTCCAAGACTGACGAGCTCCAGGTCCCAGGAGTTGTCAGAAGGCACTTGGGCAAGCTTTAACCTCAGGGGAAGTCTGGCCCATGGCTGATTGTAGGTATCTGGCATGTAGACAGAACCAAGGCTGCAGGAATAAGGAGGCCAGGAATGGGACCCAAGGTCCCCAGCCACAGCTACTCCCCTAGTGCCCATGGTACTTCATAAGACATTTCTGCTTTGTTTTTCTCCCCTCTTGGGCAGTTTCATCACTTTCTTTTCACTCTCTCATTTCTTACTCCTCTGTCTGGTTAGCTCTCCTGTTTCATGTTTCTTGCCCAAGCCCCTGTGGGCCGTTTGATTTTGCGGCTGTCTCTGATCGCTGGCATCTGCTTTGGTAGCCTGTGTCTCCAGGGAGGCCCTGAGCAGCTAAAGGTGTTCAGAGCCCTCAGGTAAATCCTCCTGCACAGGAGTTAGCCCCATAAGACATGGGAGGGCAACAGTGGGACCTGTTGGGCCTTCGTGGAACTGGAATTTGTTCTATCTTTTTCCATAAAAATGGCAAGCAGTAAGGGGTCAGGAGCTGCAGTAGTGGCCCAGCTGCCCTTTCTGCCTCTCAGGATGTTGGGACCATGTAAATAAATGCAGGCTGAGTGGCCTGGGGTGCCAGGTTGGAAGGAGTTGCTCTACTGGCATCACCCCCTTTGCTAGCCTGTCCAAAGAGACCTGTGGTCATGGAGGCTGCAGGATACTCTAGGGCATAGCCACAGTGGGGACTCCAAGACTCCTCAGAACAGCAGGTCCCTGAGAGACAACAGAGCCACTGCTTCTGGTCTCCCCCAAAAAATGGGAGGAGGGAGGAAAGGCTGGAGGTAAGAAGAGCAGAAAAGAGGCTTGGAAGATGCTGAAGAGACCAAAGCCAGTTTTTTAGGGCTACCAAAGCATGCGGAGTGGACCATGCACTGATGGACTCTCTATTCCATCCCCCAGAACAGCCACCACAGGGTGAGGCGGCCACACTGCAGACTCTCCTCCAGGACCTTCTCCACATTCTGCCAGCACTAACTGGGACAGCAGCCACACCTGTTGATTCAGCTGAGTGCACACCAGCTCCACTGCAGTGTGGCAGGACCAAGGTGTTCATGACTGACTTCATGGTAAGCTGGCTGAGGGATGAGATTATGCCTGCCAGCTTCAGGCTGTCCACAGCAGGACAGTCTGGGCCCTCCTGGGGACAGTGGGAGGAGAGGCTGAGGACCTCAGTGGACGTAATTCCTTCCAGCTAGAGCTTCTGGAAAATGGACGTACGCAGGTGCTGGAGCAGTGTGCCCGCTGCATCCAGTGTGGCTGGAGACAACACCAGCATAGAAAGCAGAAGAGGCAGAGGCGAGCTGCCACCCTCATTCAGGCAGGTAGGTGGATGGCAAACCCTGGGTGCCCTAGGATTTGAACCCCCTGTGCACCTCGCCCAGAGTCCGCAGGTTAATGGAAACCAAATCGTTCCTACCTAGGCTAAACGTTTGCCTTCAGTTCCCTTTTCTCAGCCAACATAGCTGTTTATGCCACTGTCTTTTTCGCTCCTTTTTCGTAAATCAATACCTGCTAGGCTGCAGGGCTTGGAAGAAGGTAAAAGTGACAGCATTTGATTCATCAAAAGAAAAGATTCATACCAGTCTTATTTTGAAAAAATGGTAGAAATAGCCCAAATGGCTAAATTATGGATCATCCCTATGACACAGCAAATGTTTTTGAGGACTATTATACACTTATTGGAACACCACTTCCTGGATATTAAACTATAGATTAAGGATGATCCCTTGTAAGGTGTGTTTATGTATAGAGGCATAAAAAGAACTGTAAAGGTAAATAAATACTGTAGAACTCTCTGGATTGGGGAGATAACAGGTGATTTTTATATTTGTCTTTAAAGTTTTTTTTAATGCTATTTAATGGAGTATCCTTTGTTCTCTATATAATCATACCAAAAGAAATTAGAATATGCTGAAACCAGCCAGTAATTAATTTTATCAGCATTTGGGCATATGATGATGTTGTATCTTACACTCAAAGCAAGCAAGAAAATTTGAGGACTTTATTTTTTTAAAAAATTTATCCATTTATTTAGTATAAATAAGTAAATACTGATTGAACCTGGGGCAGTTTATTACTAAGCTACATCCCCATCCATTTTTATTTTTTTGTTTTGAGACAGTCTAAGTTGCCAAGGCTGGCCTCAAACTTGTAATCCTCCTGCCTCAGCCTCCCAGATCACTGGGATTACAGGCATGTAGTACCATTCTCATTTTTTTTTTTTTTAAAGAGACTTTTTTTCCTGTTTGCAGCACCAGGGATGGAACCCAGGGCATCGTGTATGCTAGGCTAAGTGCTCTACCCTAGCCCAAAACAAATATTTTAAAAGGTACAAATGATCCAAAACCCTCCCATTCCTGGCATTGCCAGGGATTGAGTATGAGATGGAGGTGATCCTTCTGGGCCTGGCCAGTCAAAGCCTCCCAAGTATCACTGAGTGTGTAGGCTCTAAGTATAAAGTTTTTGTTTTTTTAATTCAAATTAATTTATTTTAATTAGGTATATATGACAGCAGAATGCATTTTGATTTATTGTACACGATTGTAGCACAACTTTTCATTTCACTGGTTGTACATGATGTAGCATCACACCATATGTGCAGTCTAAGTAATGATATTTGTCCATCTCATTCCACCATTGTGTGAAATGTTTTTAAAAACCCATTTTGAGCCAGGTGCAGTGGCATGTGCCTATAATCCCAGCCACACAGGAGGATTGAAACTCTAAACCAGCTGGGCAATTTAGCAAGATCATGTCTCAACATTTAAAATTGGGCTGGGGGCTGGAGCTGTAACTCAGTGGCAGAGCACTTGCCTAGCAAGTGTGAGGCACTGGGTTTGATCCTCACCACCGCATAAAAGTAAACAAAGGCATTCTGTCCATCAACAACTACAAAAAAATTTTTTTAATAAAAATAAAATGGGGTTGGGGATACAGCTCAGTAGTAAAGTACCCCTGAGTTTAATTCCCAGTACTAGCAGGGAAAAACAAGCCCAAAAACAAGCAAAATGCTTCATGTGTTGACTTTCATATATTCTATAATACACGGTAACCAATACTTCAGATAAAACGCATTTCTGATGTTTTGGCACAGCCAGGTTGCCAAGTGCTCTAATGACCATTGTTGTCTCTCTGCTGTTTCTGGGCAAACCTCTTAGCCGTTCGTTCCTGGTTAACTCGGAAACACATCCAGAGGCTGCACACAGCAGCCACAGTCATCAAGCACGCATGGCAGAAGTGGAGAGTGAGTACGACTTGAGAAGTCAGGGTGGGCAGCTCACAGATTCTGGCACCTGACCCAAGTGGGTGGGAATGGGGGTGGGGGCCAGTGTCGGAAAGGATGTTCAGCCTCTCAGCCTTGTGTTCCTCCTGTGCAAGACAGGCAGAGGCAGCTCCTCCCGTGGTGGTAGTGATGATAAACAGTGGCATGAGTTTAACTCCTGGAACATACTAAACCATGGATTTGTGTACTTTAAATGCATAACTTCTATGGCCTATCAGAAAGGCTGTTGCTTATGCAACTGCCTTACTTTCTGCCACATGGACCCCTTCTAGTTCTTGGCATCCAGCTGTTCACATCAGGTACCTTCAATTCATCTTGTTAAACTGATTTATTAAAAATAGTTTGGTTTCTATTTTCCATTAAAAGAACTAGAAAGCCAGCCATAGTGGTGCACGCCTGTAATCCCGGTGGCTCAGTAGGTCCTGAGGCAAGAGGATCCCAAGTTCAAAGCCAGCCTCAGCAGCTTAGCAAGACCCTGTCTCAAAATAAAGTATAAAGAGGGCTAGGGTCAGTGGTTAAGCACCCCTGGGTTTAATCCTTGGTACCCCCCCCACCGCTGTCTTCCCCCCCCCCAAAAAAAAAGGACTAGAGAAATCTAAAGTTTAAAAAAGTTTTTTTTTTTTTTTTTTCTTTTTAAGATCAGAATGGCCTTCCTTGCTTCTAAAGAACTGGATGGTTTGGAAGAAAAACACTTTTCCCAAGCTCATGGTTCCCCGAACTCCTCTCCACTGCCCCCAATGCAGACCAGGCTCCTAGGGGCAATAATCCGGCTTTGGCCTCTAGGACTAGTCCTGGCCAATGCAGCTGTGGGTACACACAGCTTTCAGAGAAAACTGGTAGTCCATGCCTGCCTCCAGCTTCCCTCAGGCAGCTCCAGCAGCTCCAGTGTCCAGACAGCACAACAAGACCAGGCTGGTGTCAGGTCCATCCGAGCACTACCTCAGGTAAGATGTGTGATGGGATAGCAGTCCTACTCTACCACAGGTCCAGCTCCTCACACCTGTCTAGGGAATGCAGGGAGACTAAGCCTGGGAGGAGACCCTTCCCTAACCCTACTGGGTAAACCCCGAAGCCTGAGCTTCCCAACCAGCTGCAAGTTCTGATTATTTCCGTTATTGAAACTGGGAATCTATCTTCCAGAACCTTCACTAGTCCCCACCCCTTATGGTACTAGAAATTGAATTCAGGACCTTGCTACTGCTAGGCCAAGTCCTCTACCACTAAGCTACGTACCCCTAGCCTTTTTTAGTTTTTGAGACAGGGTCTTACTAAGTTGCCCAGGTTGGCCTTGAAATTTTGATTCTCCTGCCTCAACTTCCCAAGTCATTGGGACTATAGGCATGTGCCACCATACACAGCTTGAATGTCCTTTTACTTAATCCCAAGTGGACTGACTTGTCACTTCACAAAACACTGGATTTGGCACCATGTTTTCCTCATTACTTGGTTCATCTCTCCTTTTCCAGCTGAGGAAATGAGAAATGGGTATTAATGGTCCAAGTCCTCTGCTTTTATAATATGAGCAGCTAGAGAAGAGGGTGAGCCAGCATTCAGGAAGCCCATGTCACACACAGCTTTTTAGTACACCCTAGCAAGCCTAGCCTCATAAATCAGCTGAGGAAAGCTGATAGGTGTGTTAGCGCTCAGAAGCAGAACCTCAGGATCTGGGTCTTGGCTCTTCTGCCCCTTTCACTGGATGACCTGGGTGAATCTGAGAGCCTCCATTTCTTCATCTATAAATGGTTAATACTCTGTTGAATGGGCCACAGCAAGGAGTAAGCGAAATTGTTTCCTTCCTTCTGCTTTGTCAATTTCCAAAGCAGAGGAATTACTATAGGCCATAATCTGAATAAAATCTCCCATGAAGCTGGGCATGGTGGCACATGCCTATAATCCCAGTGGCTCAGGAGGCCAGCCTCAGCAAGAGAGGCACTGAATAAATCAGTGAGACTCCATCTCTAAATAAAATACAAGAAAGGGCTGGGGATGTGGCTCACTGGTTGAATGCCTGAGTTTCACTCCCATGAAAACTCACAGGCCAGCATAAATGTAAACAGAAGTGTAAATGTTTTGATCTTCCAGCTGGAAGCAGTCATAGGAATGTGACAAGTGATAACTTCTACCCCTTCCTAGGGTTTCCTCATCTGTCCCATACTGAATGGATGTGAAATATGATATTGGACTCTATTTCAGAATTTAAAAAAAAAAATACATTAACGAAGTCCTGCCACTGGTATGGCCCTCAGACCAGTACTTGTCCACACCTCACATTTCTAACATTGGCTCTGTGAGGTACCTTTAAGCCCCGGCACTCCTGGGAGCTGGGGCTAAGCTAAATCTCTTTCTCCCCAGGGCTCGATAAGGTTTCACTGCAGAAAGTCTCCACTGCGCTACGCCGACACCTGCCCTGAACCTTCACCCTTTAGTATTACTGGCTTTAATCAGATTCTGCTAGAAAAACACAGGCCAATCCATGTGTGACCTTTTCTCACCCTCTGCTTTTACCTGGCTGAGTGATCTGTAGTGCCTTTGTTTCCATGAGGCCTTTTCCTGCCAGATGCCTTGCCAAAGACATTTAATCAGCACACAACTGCCAAACTATCCCACAGCAACTGTAAATGTACGCACGTGAAACAACTCCAGGATTCAGGCCACAGAGAACTTACCATTTCACTCACTACTTCATGGATCAAACTCGGTAGCAGATGAGGCTGTTTTGGAGTTTGATCTGTCACTACAGTGGGGCACCCAATCACCCACAAGCACTTTAGAAAACAGGCAAACGAACATGGGCTTTAGAACTTTGGCTGGGAAAAACTGCATTTAGTTCCTCAAAGGAACAACCTTATTTAATAAGTTGTTGACTTATTTAATTTCAAACAATCAAAGCAGGGACCAAGGACAATGAACAATGCAATGTACAAGAGAACCACCATATCTTGATTTTACTTAGTAACACTGATCAGTTTTCAACTGAAATAAGTATGAAACATGACAAATAAGTTATGTACCAAAAATAAAACATTTGAAAACAACCCTATGAATGTCAAGCTCTCTTCATAAAGGATTTGCTACATTGAGTACTCCCCATGGCCTGAAACATACACACCTGTCAAGAAACAGATACCTGCACAACCTCAGCAGTCAGCTTGCATCTGGGAAGCCACCTTCCATGTTCGGAGGCCAACAACGTTAGCCGCTTCCTGACCCACCCCCCTGCAAAGACTAGGTAGTTGTGGGAGTCAGGCATGTGCTTGACTAAGGAGCACAATAATGCATTTTAAGAATCCTCATTCTGTGGTGGTTCCACGATTCTTAAACAGCAGTCCGCAAACTCCACAAACAAGGGCTCCTGCATGTAGGCTCTCATGAGCTTTGCTTTGTTGTCACCCTGATCGAGGTTGATCACCAACTGTCTAAGGTGTGGATTGAGCAATAAGTTTTTTAATGTTGCAGATTCCCCTTTAAAAAAAGAACAAAAAAAAAGCCTAAGTTCAAGTAGGAACATGTAGAGATGGCTGAAAGCTAAATGTTTTAAATGTAATAAACTCTTGCATCCCTGTAAACCATTATGTCATACCCCAAGCTCCACAGGTTTCTCATCCATGGATATAACTAATCAGGTTGAAAATGTTAAAATTTTTCAGTTACAAAATTTTGCCTATACAAATATATATAGACTTTCCTTGTCCTTAAACAATTCGGCATAACAACTTTATCCAGCATTTACATTGTATTAGGTAATCTAGAGATGTATACTTATTGTATTTAGCCTAGAGATGATTTCTGCTGGAACCAAACCCTGCCCTACAACTGTCTCATCACTACAGTGGTATCAAGTGCTAAGGCCAACCCATTAGCCTGACTGACTGGAAAGAATGAAATTAATTATACATAGAACTCATACAAATAGTAGACTAAGAAGTACTACAAAAATGTGCTATTTTTACACGCTTTTTGCATGTGTATAGTCCTGATGAACACAGGGCCTCACACATGCTAGACAAGTGTTCTGCTGAGCTGTATCTCCAGCCCCCCAAAATGTACATTATTAACACCTGTTTCCCCCCTGAAAATTTAATCTTGTGATTACTAGCCTGCACTAAGGAATGGATTATAAATCCAGCACAGGGAAATACTGGTCCCTGCCCTACAAATTGATGTATAAGATAAAATATGAGTGGTACATTAACTGATAAGTTCAAGGCAATATGCAAAGACAAGTGCCTAATTCTGAGAGACATGGGTCAAGAAAAGCTTAGTTGAGCCAAGAAAACTTAAACTGTACTTTGAAGGAAGGACAGAATTTTGCCAACCTGCAATACCAGATTCTAGACAAAAGAAACAATGGGCATTGTGGACAGGCCAGGAAATGTGAAATCATTCAGGTTTACAGAACTGTACAGCTGGAAAGGAAAGGAAAGGCCCTGTATGCCACACCATTTTTAATAGCTTAAGTCATATTTCAAAAAATAATAAGGAAATTAGGGCAGGAGGTGTAGCACAGTGATAGGGACTCACTCATGCAGGTAGGCACTCTGAGTTTGATCTCCAATGCGTTTTTAAAAAGGGGGGTAGATGGTTGGGGATACAGCTCAGTTGGGAGGGTGCTTGCCTTGCATGCACAAGCCCTGGGTTAGATCCCCAGCACAACCAAAAACAAAAAAATTCTATACAGTAAAATTATCTCAATGATTAACAAGGAAATAAATACAGAACAGACTTACCTAAATTCTTCAAATTCTGCAAAGAAACTCTGTCTTCTTCCTCATCACTATCAAGAAAATCGGCTATAGAGGAGTCATCATCTAAGAAACACACAGCATAATCTGTTTAACAGTCGAAGCCAGTTCATCAGACGTTAACACATACTCCCAAAGGAAAAAAAAAAAGTGCATACCCAATAGTGATGGGGTATACAAGTAGTTATAAATAAAAATATCTCTGGAATTCACAATTATACTCCTTGTATAAAAAAGGAAAAGCAGGTGAAAGAAAAATTGGTGGTTTTACTTAAATGTATCCTAGCACTTAAACTATGTTTCCCTCTGGTCTTTGAGCTTGGAACCTGGTGTTTTAATTCTTAACACCCCACCTCCATGGGCCAGTGAACTAGCTGATGTGTAAAAACCTGCCAAACATAAGTCCCTGAGCTTCCACGTAGGCAGAAATTACCGGCCCTTCCTAAACCCAACTAGAAGTTTCCCAAAGGGCAGAGATGGCCCATCCCTATGCTATGATCTTCAATACCTCTTTAGTGGAACCAGAGGCCTGGAACAATGCATAACCCAGGACATATGAAGGAAATTCTACATGGATGGATAGGATAGATGGAATGACAGCCCATTACCACAGCAGGAGGAGTCCCAAGCAGCAGTGAAGTGACCCAAACCAAAGGAAACCACCTGCCTCAGCCTAGCTCAGGTTAACTGACGGCTCAGGCAGGGAAACCCAAAGCTGTGACAAGAAAAGGCCTCTACCAGCAGAACCCACCTCACATTACTATACCACAGTCATGGCCTTTCTCCCCACTGACTCCTGCTCCTGGGTTTCCTCCCATGAAGGAAGTGTCAGGCTGCTCTCACCACCCATGACAACTCATGACCCACTCCTGGGGTCAGGGATGAGAAGACTGCTGCTCCCTAACAAAGTCATTCTGCAGCCCATGTCTTAGATTCATTTCTTTCCATTAGTTGTCTTTGAAAACTCCTCTAGGTTTGTTTGAAATCAATCATCCAAACAACACACCTTTGTTTTCCTTAGGCTGTGTAGTTTTCACAGGAGCAGCTGATCTTTTATTCTTAATGGGACGAGTTTCAGGGTTGCACTGCTCTGAAAAAGACAAATCTCAGACATACACACCTTCCATTTCAGTGATAAGGCTGCACCTCCTCACCAAGCCAAGGGAGAAGCATGTGTACTGGGTGGAAATGGATGTGGAAGAAGGGAGACATCAGAGGGACAGGATGAGAAAAACCCTAAGCCTAACAGAAGGGCTTAAGGATGCTGTGTTCACACATTTCAAGAACATGTTCTCATTCTCCTTCCCTAATCTACAGGGTTTTCACCATGATAAGTGGCTCAGTGTCCTCAATAAGCATCATGATTTTCTCAGCAATTTCAGATGTTAAATTTATATGTACCAGTGCCACTGAGAATACACAGATGAAAGTCACCACTCCCACCTTTGAAGGCTTTAGTCATGGGAGATAGCTAGACACAGAGAACAAGGGTCTGGTCTAAGTCCACCTGAGAAAACCAACAGACATCACCAAGATGACTCTTAGAGAAGCGTTAGGAGGAAAGAAGAGCATTATTGGCAGAGGAAAATGTCTATGCCTAGGCAGAAAAGAGCAGAGTCAGGAATTAGGAGATAGTGATAAGCAATTGCCAGCTGATTGATAGGGCAGCCTGGCAGGTACTTGGAGCACAAGAGGAAGCCAGAGCAAAAGAATGCCCCCCATAGGAAGTCTGTCTTCCCCCACCAATGTCTCACTATTTAAAAGAGAGAAACTGGGGCTAGGGATAAAGCTCAGTTGGTAGAGTGCTTGCCTTGCATGCTCGCCTCCCCGGAACCACAAAAAAAGAGCGAGAGTGAAACATTCTAGTTAACCTCAGCAGAGAAGCTTCTGCCAAACGGTGAGAGGCCACGCTAGCATGCTAAGAACAGCTAGGTAGGATTTTGCTACGAAAGCAGTCTAGGGGGTTTTGTTTGATTTTTACTTAGGTTTATTTAGATCACAATTTTGGAGATTTAAAGCAGTCGACTCTTTTAAAAAGAAAACGACAGTGGGCACGTAGGAATAAAGCCAGGATAGAAGTAGGTTGACTGTTAAAAACCGAGAAAGCATTTACAGGGGTCCCCCCACACAAGGAGAGGTACAGGACACTAGAGACAGACTGAGGACGCAAGGCTCTCACAGAACAAATGGTGACCCGAGTGAGACAGAATTGCCTGGGAGGTCTGAGGAGCTCCGGGCGGATCCGGCGCTGCAAGGCCTGGAGGAGGCGCAGCCTGAGGCCCACGTCCCCCTGAAGGCACTGGGGTGGGGAGGGGGTGCCACACACGAGGAGGCCAGGTGCTAAAGCGGGGACACCCGGGCCTTACCTTTGTGCTTCTGGAAGCAGGTCACCGAGCAGCTGCAACGACAGAGACCACAGCCCGAGTCAGCCCAGAAGGCGACGGCCCCTCCCGCAAAGCCCGGCCCAGACCCGGCCGGACACTCGCGCTCCCCGACCCCCACGAATTCCCCACTCACTAGGGCACGCAGCAGGCCGGGCAGCGGTACTTGGGCTTCTCGGAGCAGATCACGCACACCACGGTGCTGCATTTGAACGACGCCATGGCGCCAGACCAACTGGCTCACGCCCCTCTCACGCAGCAGCTCCTAGCGCACGCCCTTCCGCTCGTTTTCTAAACCAGAGCCAATCAGCGTTCGGCACTTATTGGCAGTCAAAAGCAATGGATGGATCCTGCTCACTCGTCCAGTCCTCATTAGTAGAGCGTCGATATACTCGATGTGCATCAAGTAGCTATCACCAGGTCTTGTCTTGATTAGGTCTCGTCGTCAAAGAACTTATTATCTAGCCCTATCCCTATCCTTACGAGGCTGTGTGGCTTGGATCAAGTCACCATCACTCTATAGGATTGTTGCACGCGTATAAAAAGAAATAGAACTAAACCTCCTACACAAACATTGGGTTCTCCTGTCCATCTCATCTCTGGGAATCAAACCGGAATCGACTGGTTCATGTAGCACACAGGAAACTGCCCTTCCCATCCTAGGCCACTCTTCCTAAAGGAATAAAAGACATTTCTTGAGGCTTGGCCCTGAAAAATGCTTATTAGGGCTCTAACTGTGAGACCTTCTCTGCGGAGGCACTGAGGACCTTCAGAGGTTAGAAGACGGTCTCTGTTCCCTAGGAGCTTAAGGCCTATAATGAAGGCAAAACTGGGGGAAGGAGAGAAGAGACTCATTCTTGGGTTCCTGCCTCCTCTGATCTGCATTTGCATGAACCTGAGAATTAGTGTTTC